TATCTAATAAAATTATAACAATAATATAATTACATTCAGTGAACATAAATACTAACCTTAATTGTTGTGATAAATTTTGAAAGATATTGTTAACGATGCAATTTCACTATGATAAACTTCGAAGGATATTATTAACAGTACAATATCGATTAAAATTGTTGCAATAAACTTCTGAAGGATATCGTTAACAGTGCAATGTCAATTAAAATTATTGTGATAAATTTTGAAGGATATTGTTGACATTGCAATGTCAATTGAAAATCGCAGTGATATAAATGCAAGTAGTGACCATCGAAATGATATATTATGAATATCTAACATAAATGAAGGTTGTCGATATGAAATTACTACAAAAATGATAATATTTGCAAAATTTTGCATATGAAGATATCAAAATCGATAACCTTCAAAAGTTATCAATATGAATTTATTATGAAAATAATAATATTCATAAAATTTCACACATGAAAATATCAAAATCAATAATTTTCAAAGGTTGTTGACATGAATTTACTACAAAAATGATAATATTCACAAAATTTCACCATGTGAAAATATCAAAATTGATAACCTTCAAAGGTTAGTGAAGACCTTCAAAAGATAATATATCGAAAAATAGTGAAATACTTATGTTAACGTTAACTTTTAAAGGTTTTTACTAAAAAAAATTTCCTGATATACTAGTGTAGCAATACAAAATTTTATGCAACAAACAGAAATTTCTCTTCTCCTATAGCCAGAATAGTCACCTGACTTAAATTCAATTGAATACCTATGTGATAAACTTGAACATTATATTTGAGTTAAAAAAGAAAATCTAAAAAATTTGTGAGAATTGAAAATGTTTTTATAGAAATGTTGGTCACAATCGAATGTGAAGTTTATCAAAAATTAATTAATAGTATAGAAAACAAAGTAAAGGCCATAATGAAATCTCATGGCTATTCTACTAGATATTATCAGGTTTTTACAAATATAAATATAATAAATTAATTTTTTAACTATTTTTTTTTTAAAAAAAATAAGATTTTTTTATTGGAAATTTTATAATTTTTAATTTATTTATTTTTGAAAATTTAGAGTTGAATTTTTTTTTATTTTATTGTTTATAACATGAATTTTTAATAAAAAAAAATTAGATTTTTTACCATATAAACTTTTTTTTTAATAAATTTAAAAATATTTAATTAAATTTTAGTCTATATTAAACTATTCCAAAATTTACGGAATATATTTTTTTAAATATAAATAAAGATATTAAAAATATATATGGAAAATATTATTAAATAATTAATCACAATAAAATGATTAGTTGACAAAATAATCACGATTTTTAATAATTTATCAGGTGGCCCTAAATTTTTAGACCAGGAGTGTATCATATTTAAGTCAAATAATTGAATTTTACACAGGTCAAATACAAAAGAATTGCTATACTAAAAAGGAATTCTGATTTTAATTGATTTGTAATATAAGATACAATAGGACAGTCAATTTTTTCCAATTTTTAGCTGATCTATAATATAGGAATCACCATTCATGATTCTTTTGTATTTAACTAGTGTTAGTTATAATTTATTAACAATCAAGTCAAATTTAGAATGAACTTTTTGACAATTAGCTGTAATTCACCCAAATTTTGATATTGTTAATTGTTTATTTTAACTTGTTTCATTATCAAAAATTTCCTAATTTTTGTTTAAAAAACAATTATACATTTATAACTCTTATATTTTTTTTATTATTTTTGATATAAAATAATATTTATATAATAATTAATTATATTGCTTTATTATGCATCAATTATAAATGTTAAAAAAAGTTAGCCTTGATTACAAATAATCAATAATTACAAATAATTAGATTTTTGAAATATCAAGAAAAATAAATGATTTATATTAAATTATTACATACTGGTTTGCTTTAATTTAAACAAAGTTGTACTTTATAATTCCAGTGATCAAATAAAATAATAAATAAAATATAAAATATAATAAAATAATGAATAAATAATTTTAAAGAAAATACAAAAGTTGTATATTAACCTAACAAATCAAAGCTAAAAAATAAAAATTCCAAAAAAATTAATGTTTAATTTTTCAGAGTTTTATTTTCTTTAATTCCTTCAACTATACAGTTTAAAGATTATTAATTTCATTTAAATAAATTAATAAACAATCATTATATAAATAATTCATAAAATATAATACTTACTTATATCATCATTAGAAACTTTAAACTCCCATTGTTTTGTATCTAAAATAATAATGAATGTAAGTATTTTATATAAAATTTTTATTTATTTATTGTTAAAATATAAGTAATTACCATGTAAATTAGTTTCAAATTTCTTTGATTTCAGAAAAGGCAAATGTCTACTTGTATATATTGCTTCAGAATGCATTTCATTTGAATTATATTGAATAAAATTCTTGTTTGATTTATTTGTTGCATTAACTTGTTTGTTTACTTCAACATTATAAGGATTATATTTATCAAGTTGAAATTTCAATTCTACAGCAGTTGGATGATTAAGAGGTTCAAAATTCCAGCATTTTTCCATTATTTCTTTGAGAAATTGAGGAACTTCACACTTAATTTCTGGTTTAAGCCCTTTGCAAATTTCCATTACAAGTTTTTCATTATGTGGAAAATTATAATATGGTGGATAACTAGTTAGAACTTCATACATAACTATACCAAAAGAATAAATGTCAGATTCTTGAGTATATTCTCCTTTACTCAATGTCTCAGGTGCCATGTATGGAATTACACCATAAATCTTTTCTTGATCATTTTCTGAAACTGGTTTGCACAATTCAAAATCTGTAATATAACTTAAAGCAAAAGTTTGATTAACTATATTACCAGAATGAAAATCTTTATGCATTAAGTCCATTTTATGGATATTGACAAGCCCATCTACAATATCAAATAAAATATTGTATTTTCTTCTCCAAGTTAATTCTTCAAACTTGTTATCCAACAGTTTTTGAATACTGCCATTTTTTGCATAATTCATAACCATCATCATATATTCATTTTTTGTTGGATTTTTAGTGATGCCATATATTGCAACTGTCTTTTTACCTTGTAATTTGAGTTGATTTTTAATCTAAAATATTTATTAACATAAAATATGATTATTATATATACATATATAATAATAATTAAATAATGAAATATTTACTCCTTGCAAAAAATCATTTTGATTTTTGGATTTATCAAGAACTTTTAAGCAAACATCTGTTTCTCCAAATCTGTGCCATTTTTGAAAAAAATTATCAAAATAATGAATAGGTCCATCAAATCATTTTGCTTTATATACTGTGCCAAAACCTACTTTAGCAAGGTATATGACATTCTCAAGTTTATCAAATGGAATCCACTCAATAATTTCTTGAATTTTATTTGCCTTTAGTTGTATTTGTTGAATAAATTCATCAATTACTCTATTACTGCCTGTCCATTTATCAAATCTATTTTGAAATCTTTTAGCATTACATGGATGGCACCACTTGTATCCAGTATTATTTTGATGGCATTCACTACACTTTCTAAAAAATATTATTGATAATTACTTAAAAACTTGTTATATGATATTGAATTAAATTGAAACATTGAGATAATTATGAATCTAAATACTCAAGACTATTCATAATTATTAGTTTATAATTGATTAGAGAATTGTAAGATGATATTGAATTAAATTGAAACATTGATTGAGATAATTATGAATTCAAATACTCACTTGCTATAAAATAATTTATATTGATTAGAGAATTGTTATATGATATTGAATTAAATTGAAACATTGATTGAGATAATTATGAATCTAAATACTCACTAACTATTTATATTGATTAGTTTATTATTGATTAGAGAATTGTTATATGATATTGAATTTAATTGAAATTTTGTTTGGGATAATTATAAATCCAAATACTCACAAGCTGCAATATAATTTATTTTTATTAGTTTATAATTGATTAGGAAAATAATTTAATATATGTAAATTATTATTAGTAATAAATTGTGTTTTAAAATAAAGTTTAATATAATAATATGCCTACTCTTCAGATTCTTTTAATTCTACTGTTTCTCTCATTTCTTTCGTATTTCTCGTTTCTCCGTCCATTTCTTTTAATAAAGTCAAAAAAAATATTACATTATCGGATTAATTAAATTCCGTTTTGCATGCATTTGTACAACAGATTGTCTCGAAATACAAAAAGCGGTATTACATAACATAACATAAACGAATTCCTTAAAAAATTTTACCAAATAAAATATTCATGCATGCCTCATTCATGTTTTTATTGTGTTTTATTTATTGTTTACATTTCTACTAAAAATAATATTTTATTAAGCACGCCACAGCAAAAGAGTTCCGGCTCAATCAATAAATTTTTGGGATTTTGTCATGATTATGTTTATCATCCCAACTTATTGGAAAATGTATTTTTTCGTCCAAGTATCTTAATAAAAATGGCTGAAAACCGTTGCAATTTTTTTTAATATAAATAAACAAATAGATTTTCCCTCAATCCGTCAAGCGGACAAATTTTCCCGCTAAAACATAGTAGCATTTGAAAAACTGACAGTTTAAGAGATAATATTCGTTTTGGTAATGAAGTTTACATATTTATTATTATAAATAAATTAAAATATTTGTTACAATTTTGCTGTGGGCGATCCTTATATTGAATATTTAAAATAAAAGTTATACACTAAAATAATATTAATTAAGTATATAAAGTATATATCGAAATATAGATTTAAAATACATCTAAAACTAATAATAATATTCGAAATAGAAATGGAGCAAAATAAGAGTAAAAATGAAAGTGAAAATAGAACGGAAAATTCTTTCTCTAAGATCGATGGTCACTTAAATAAGAAATGGTTTATTATTGCAACCTAGAGTTATTCAATTTTTTTTACAAACACCGCCTGATGACAGTCTCTTCTTAATTAGAAATTAAATCCCATTATCAGGAAATTTATTAGGCGGAAATTTTCGTCACATCGCAAATTGAGCAAGTTTTTGTGCGGGGGTTTTTCCGTTTTTTTTTGGCTTCGCGAGGCGCAGAGCGATTTTCTACTAAGGTGTTTCTACGTTAGATTAACGGTCTTGTTCTTAGCTACAGAATGAAAAGTATTACGTCCTTGTAGCATCGATATTTGCAGAGATCTTTCGGTTTAAAGAAAAACATTCGTGAAAATATCGTGCGCACGCAAAATTTCGTAAATCTTACGCGATTTTTTCACGAATTTTTCTTTGAACGGGACGATCTCCGTAAATATCGTTCTACAGGGATGAAACTTCTGTCATTTCGTAGCTAAGAACAAGGTTATTCTATCTATCTTAAGAATACATTAATAGAAAATCGCTCTGCGCCTCGCGGAATCGAAAAATAGAAAAAGCCGCACAAAAAACTTGCGCAAATTTTCGCGGGTGCTGTTAGTCAGTGTTAGTGTTATTGGTGGTGTTGGCAATTTTGGTTATAATATTTTAAGTAAGCAATTAACAATCCATCTGTGTTATGTAATTGATTTTATAAAGAAAACATATATCAAAATTAATTAATAAATATAATTATTTTAATATTGAAAAATTAATGCATGAAGAAAACGAAAAGCATATCAACATTGAAGCATTTTTCGGCTCTCAGTAGCAGAACATTCGCCGCTCTTATATGTTTTCTATTTTATTTATTTATAATTATAAAAATGTTAATTGATTTATTATTTTATTTAATTGCCAATTTCGAAGAAAATATCCTTCTGAAATTTTTTCCTTGTATAATACACCAAATGAACCGGATTTTTTGAGAAATAGTCAAAAGAAGATATATCTAAAGAATTAATGCGAATTGTTAGTTTCTAATGGTAATTTAAATTCTCGAGACAAAATTATAACACAAGAACTGATAAGAACTGGGTGTGGCAAAATAGTTATAGTTTTTCTTTTACTGATTTCACGTAATAAATTGAATGTTATAGATTATCGTGGTCATGAAAACCTAATTTAAGCTGGCTTGACAAATTTAAACAGAATATATCGTTGTTTTCTAAAATCAAGGCATTTATATACGTAACCCTTTTTTTGGATGTTAAGACAATATTTGGTGTTTATTGAGCTGAAATTCAAGTCAAGTATTGAATTTTAAAAATAATATATATTTAACCTAATAACATAAACAAAAACTATGAACATGACGGATTATTCTATTTATCAATTATTTCATCAAAAATTTCAAAAAATTGTAAGAGTAAGAGCGCAAATCTCTTTCTTTTAGCATATCGATTATATAGAATTTGTAATTTCAATCAAAACAATCTTCAATTAAAATTTCTTATTTTGAAAAATCTTTAGGCTTAATTATTCTTTTAAGAATATATGGGAATGTGCTTGAGTTTTATGTTCCACGGTCCAATCTAAGCCATTTTGCTTGCTTGATTGCAAATAAAAATACGAGAGCATTTCCAGGAATAATGACAAAAAAATGTTTTTAGTTGCAATTTTGACTTGTTATCTTGTAAGATTTTCTATTACGATGATATTAAATAAAATCTTTCATAAATCTAGGAAACAATTGATAAATAAACTTTCCTTTTTGGAATGAATTAGGTACTTAAATGCATTCTTAAGTTAGTGCTAATAATTAAATTGCATAAATTTTATTATTAGGGTCACAGTAATATTTAAGGCTGGAGAATTCTTTATTCAATTTAAGAATAAACTGGAGTTCACCTTCTCTTGTCTTGATAAATTAAAGAAAATTTGTAATTAATATTTTATTTGCTTTATGTAAAGCATTGATCACCTTTTACTATTATTCAAAAATAAAATAGTCTAATATTTACGTTTATTGTATTTTCAAATAAAATAAAAAGTCACTGCATCTGACAAAATTTAAGAATTTTTTTATTGAATCTCACGTGCCTCGTTGAAAATAATATTTTTATAATTATAATAAATAAGGAATTATGAATTTAAAAAAGTAATAAGGAATATAATAGATCATATAAATTCATCTTATATTTAAACCAGCCATTATGATTTACAATTGAGCACTCATGTTCTTTAATTTGTTAAATTATTTATCGCATGAAAAAAGTAGAAAATACCCACCTTCAATAGATAATGATTAGCAAAATGATCAAATTGACAAACTTTCTTTTACAAAATTTCTATCTGGAAAAAACAAGAATATTGCTTATATATAAATTTCTGACGCATTTATAAATATCATTGTATTTGCATTAATTTGCATTCATTGATTTATGTTCTTTAATATTTTGAGATTACTTTTGATAAGTATTGAAGATTTCTTTAAAAATAATCTTTCAAAAGAAGGGAATGGGTTGTACATATTATAAAAGATACCATTTTTTTTTTAAAAAAAACACCATGAGTACAAAGTGTTCCTAACTAGACCTTGAGCTAATTTAATTTTATATAATAAGTGCACATTATCATCAGAGTTGGGTGCCGAAAATAATATTTATTTTTTTTTTTTTTAATTTCAGCACCCAACTATAATTACCAGTAAAATTCACTAATATTTGTTTTGAAAAATAATTGTGAATTTATTCTATTTTCTTTTTCTTTATTGGTAGCAATAAATATATTATTGCGTGTATTGTTTTGATAGAAAAGAACATACAAACATATATGGTTTATACATAGCGAAGATATAATAAATAATGCTTGATTTTTCAATTAACTATCTCATTTGTTTATAAATAAATTATGAAAGAAGAAAACTCATCTTGATTTTCAGTTAACTTTCACACAGTTTATAGACTGTATAAACACAAACAATAAACAATTACCTATATTTATTTTAAATAATTACATACTGGTCTGCTTTAATTTAAATAAAAGCTATATTCTATAATTACAGTGATCAAGTAAAATAATAATGATAAATAAAAAATAATAAATAAAATATAATAATAACAAGGTCAAATAAATGTAGTATATTTAAAATTACATTCCATTTCTGAAGTTTCATTTTCTTTATCTTCAAACATACAAAAAAATACTTTTTAAATTAAATATGTCAGATAGAATAATTAAGAAAAAAAATTTGCCATTGATATTATAAGGGATTAAAAATAGTGCTAAATAAATAAATATACTTAAAAATTTTTTTTCTAAAAAAAATATCTTACAAATATAATATCCTTACTAAATACTTCATATTCAAGCTTAGTGAGTTTAGGTATAAGTCTACTTGTATATATTGCTTCAGGATGCATTTCATTTAGTCCAAATTTAATGAAATTCTTATTTAATTTATTTGCTCTATCATCAATAAAATCTCACATTTGATGTTTAGAATTTACACCATGTAGATATTCTTCAAGACCATTGATTTATATACTGATGCCATGAGAAAGTGTTGCCACTAAAAATATATATAAATTATATTACACAATCCCATAATTCATTTTTTTTAGTATGATTTCTTATAATTCGAAAAAATTCGTATAATTTTTTTTAAATTAAATTAATTATTAAAGAATCAAAAAATCGTAAGTAAAAAATAACATAAACTTTTAAATACATATTTACCATATTGACCTGCTTGAATTATCATATTTGTTACTATTTAATTAATGATCTAATAACTAATATTAATAAATTTAATTTAATTAACACTTAATAAATACCATTGATTTAATTTAATCTAATTTATTAATTGTTTTGATTAATTTATTTGTCTGGACATAACAGTTATATTTATTTAAAATAAAGTTAAATTTTTCATATTCTTGATCAAATTTTAGCAATAATAAATTTTCTAATTTATTTATTAAGTTGTAACTTTTTAATAAGTCAACTTTGGTATTTAGTAATTTGATATTGTTAATTTATTATAAATCCTCATAATTTCTAATTAATAAAAATTTTTATTATAATACCATTTTTTTTTTACAGCCCTTTTATTTATAAAATTGGTAAAGGAAAGTTTTGGATTTTTAATAAATAACTAAATAAACATTTTTTAAAACTTTCAAGTTGTTATTTTTTGAAAGTAATTTAGAAAGTGAATAAAATAATTGGCAATTTGGATTTTGTTAATCCGCATTTACTGAATTAATAAATACCACTTCTGTCTCATTGAGTACAAACCTCAAAACCAACTTTTGCAATTTTTTTAACTTCGTGCAACCTATCATAAAGTATCCTCTATTATATTATTTTATTCTTTGTAATATAGTTATTTTCTTTAAAAATAACCTATAAATTTAATGTTGCTATTTTCAGAAAAAAAGAAACCATTTTATTGCTTAGATTATAAATATTCGCAAATTATTTATTAGTGCTAATAAATGAAATTCGAGAACTAGCCTAAGTTCTTTTTCATGTTTTATGTGATAAATTTCTATGCCATTATTAGTTATTTGATTGACAATCTAAAAAAATTTCTTAACACATTAGAACTATGCAAGTTATTTTTTAAATATTAGTTTTTAGCATAAATTACAAAATTATAATAATATTGATTGCAAATAAAAATAACAAAGGATTTAATGCATTAAAAAAATATTTAACAAAAAAAATTTATTAATGAAAATAGGTATAATCATCTTTACAATATAAAAATATTGGAAATTTATTTTTTATACTGACATCATAATATTTATAATTTCTTCTAATAATTCATTGGCAGATGAATTTCCATTTTCCTTTGCTTTATTCAGTTGTTAGTTCCATATCCTTCATAGAAACATTTCCCAAGTATGTATTGGCTATTGGTATTATCATTTCCTACAGCCTTTTTATGCCATTCAAATGCTTTCACCTCATTCATACTAATTCCGAAGTCATTTCTACAACAATTTTCTAAATTATATTGTGACAAAGTATATTCTTTTTTGGCTGCCTTCAGTTACCACTTAAATACTTCTTTTTCATTTCTATCAACGCCTATACTATTTTTATGACAAGACCTGACATTGATTATTGTATTAATATTTCCAGCAAAACAGACTTTATCTATATTGAAATCCTTTAGTTTTATCTATTGTTGTTCCTTTTCCATAATAATAATACAAATTAACATTAAATTGTACTACAATATTTCTTTTTTCTGCAGATTTCAAATGTAATTCAAATGCTTTTTCATCATTTCTTTCAACACCTTGCCCATATTCATAACAATTTGCTACGGAATTCAAAGCTATATGAGACCCTTTATCAACAAATGTATTATGAATCTGAAAAGTTTTTTTTGTATCATTTTCAACATCAAGACCATATAAATGCATATATGCAAGAAATATGATACTAATTTTTTGTTGATATTGTATAGTTTTCTTAAATATGAGGAAATGAAAGAGGCATCAATTATTTCATTGACTGATAAATTAAAAAATTTAAAAGCCATTTGAAAATCAATGATAGTCCCAATGCCATGCTGGTAAAAAGAACCTATTAAGCTAGTAAACAAATGATGGTAAGGATGGCGAATCATTTATAAAGAAGTTCAACTGGATTCTTCTTGTGATCTCTAATATAATTTTTGATTAAATTTTTCGTATTTCTCTAAACTGTTTTTTCTATATATCAATGAAAAATTCAAACTGATCATTAATAAAACCATTAACTTCAGTCATGACATCAACAAAAGGAGGATCAAGTTTAATTCAGGTTCTTTATTTTGTCTTATCAATGAAGAAAATTAATAAATGTTCTGAAGATTTAAATATATAAAAAGCATTCAAAAAATGCAACTTACACTCCCCTAGCAAAAGTATTAGTGGAATGATAAAATTCAAAAATAATTGCTAAAATTAAAATGGTAATTGTGGGACAATGAGTGATCTAAAATGTACAAACTTTTTTTTATTAGATTTCCCTAAACTAAGGTTACCATATAATATATTTGTGATAAAATTGAACACCTATACATGGAGATATAACGCTTCAAATGAAATTGACAAAAAATAATAAATTTATTCTTAGATCGTTACCTATACCACATTCAATGGATCTTAAAGATAGATAAAAAAAACAAAAAAAATTCTTATACATGAAAAACTTGATTATTTATTAACTTAACAATAAATGTGTTATTAGTCACCTTGAAGCCTGAAATATGGAGCATCTTTTGTAAAAATTTCAGCCTTATATATTAAGAATTGAGAGAATAATATGTACTTAAACTTTGTTAATATTAAACTCAATTATCAATTTAAAATCTGAAATTTTTACAGTAGATGTTCCATATATTAAACATTAACTGTACTTAGTACCATTTTTATTGTTACATTAATAGATAAGGAAGTTTTTATATGTGGTTCCGATTAGTAATTATTTTCAGATTTTTTTTTTTAAAATGATTGACAAGGATTTGAAGTATTTGAGGAATCAATAAAATTCAGAAATGATTGACAAAAGTTGAAGTTAGGTTTTTAATAATCAAATATAAAAAATTCTTATAAGTAAGCTTAAATAATAAGACAAAATACATATAATATATAAATTTCATATCTATCTAATTTCAAATAAAGGAATAATCGATGTTCAAAGTAAAATTTTTAAAAAATTTACACTAAAAAAATGATCCATCCTAATTTTTTGAACCACTTTTATAATAATATTTAGTTCTCTAAGTAAACAGATTCGGTACATTCTAAATTTCATATATTCAAAGTTTCATTATTTTTTTATTATGTATTAATTAAATAATTTGAAAAAATAAATATATTATAAAAAGATTTTAATATTAAATTTTCTCATGGTTTTATTGTAAAATAGACATGAAATTTTCTTTAAATGTTAGTAAAAGATAATACTAATTCAATAATTTATTGGGTTTCCTTATTTTCAATTACACCTTTAATTCTTTGTAGTATACTATTAATTGATTTAATTAAAAAATTGGCATCCAGATTATCCCATTCTTCTTGTATTATTTTAATTAATTCTGTCTTGTTTTTTGGTTTTTGCTCATGTTTTCTTATTTTTCTTTCCAATTCAAACTATAAATTTTCAATTGGATTTAAATCAGGACTTTGTGCAGGCCAAATTAGGCTATTAATTCACTTTGATTCTTTCCATTCTTTACCTTTTTTTGCAGCATGACAGGGGCATTATCATCTTGATAAATATAATCAAAACCAATTTCATTCAAAAAAGATAAAAGATATTGATTAAGTAATTCTATATATTTTGTACCATTAATGCTACCTTCAACTACAACGAAAGGTCCTTTGTTATATTTTGTAAAAAACTCCCAAACCATGACACCATCTGAATGTTTGACAATAGGCTTTAAACAATTTTTATAATATTTTTCATCTTTTGTATACCATACCCATTTTTGAAAATCATTTTTGAATATTTCAAAACGTGATTCATCACTAAAAATAATTTTTCCCATTCATCATTCCAGTTTTTTCTTTCTTTACACCATTTAATCTTTTTTTTGATTTTGATTCTGAGATTAATGGTTTTTTCTTAGCTACTCTTCCATAGTATCCTGACTCATGTAAAACACGCCCTACAGTATCAGTACTAACTGTTATTTCTAAAGAACTATTAAATTTATCAGTTAATTCTATAATTAAATCTGCTCTGTTGTCTTTAACAATTCTTACTAATTGTCTTTTATCAGTTTCAGTTGGTACTGCAGGTCTTCCAGTTCTAGGGGCATTGGAAGTTGTACCATTTGTTTTATATTTTTTAATTATATAAGCAACTGTTGATTCTGGATGTCCCAGAATTCTAGAAATATCACTATTGCTGTGGTTTCCTTTCCAAAGACCAATAATTTCACCTTTATCAAAATCAGTTAATTCTCTAAGTTTTGGCATTTTTAATTTAAACTTAATTGATAATTGGTAAATATTATGAATTATTGGTATAATAACAATAAAATGAAACTATTTCACAATCTGGTTTGTTTCATATAATTATTCTTGTGGTATATATAATTTTATAATTTTGTCAAAGTTCAACAATTTAATGCACATTAAAAAAATATAAATTTCTCAATAAATAATTAACCAAAAAAATACAAAATTTAAAAATAAATATTTAATAACCTTCCAAATCTGTTTACTTTGTAGTCCAAATATAGTTAAGAAAGTGGTTCAAAAAATCTGAATGGGTCAATTTTTTAGCATAAATTTCTTAAAAATTTTACTTTGAATTTGAACGTCGATTATTCCTTTATTTAGAAATATATAGCTATGAAATTTATATATTAAATGTATTTTGTCTTATTGTTTAAGGTTACTTATTAGCATTTTTTATATTTGATTATTAAAAACCTAACTTCAACTTTTGTCAATCATTCCGAATTTTATCAATTCCTCAAATACTTCAAATCAGTGTCAATCATTTTAAAAAATCAAAAAAAAAAATCTGAAAATAATTACCAATCGAAATCACATATAAAAACTTCCTTATCTATTAATATAACAATAAAAATGGTACTAAGTACAGTTGATTTTTAATATATGGAGCATCTACTGTAAAAATTTCAGTTTTTTAAATTGATAATTGAGTTTAATATTAACGGTTGAATATCGGACATTTTAAAATTATACTCTAAAGTTTAATCACGTATTATTCTCTCAATTATCAATGCATAAGGCTGAAATGTTTACAAAAGATGCTCATATTTCAGGCTTCTAGGTGACTTAATAACACATTTATTGTTAAGTTAATAAATGATCAAGTTTTTCACGTATAAACAATCGTCACAATTATTCCGAATTTTTTTTATTTTCTTAAAAATTTTATTAAATTTCGGTCGTTTTTATTCACATCTAATTGCTGGTCTAAAATAAATAAATAAATAAATAAATTCACGTCTAATTGAAGTCAAAATTTTTGTTAGGTACCGAGAAAAACATCAATAATTAAAGTTGTAGATATAATTTCTGTCTACAATTTCATATAAGCAAGTTGGTATCTATCTTTAAGACCCATCGAATGCGTTATAGGTAACAATCTAAGAATAAATTTATTATTTATTGTCAATTTTATTTGAAGTGTAATATCTCCTTGTATAGATGTTCAATTTTATCACAAAGATATTATATGATAGCCTTAGTTTAGAGAAATCTAATAAAAAAAGTTTGTACGTTTTAGATCACTCATTGTCTCACAATTACCATTTTAATTTTAGCAATTATTTTCGAATTTTATTATTCCACAAATACTTTTTCTAGGGGAGTGTATATAGAAATAAATTTTGTACCTTCAATTTCTATGGTACTAATTAATGGTAAATCATCATTATAATCTTCAAATTCAGAACCCGATATATTTTCAAGATATGTTTCATTTTCATTAACTAGTATTTCATTTTCTTTATTTGTTTCGTTTTCATTAACCGGTACTTCATTTTCTTTATTAGACTTTGTTAAATAATAAAATATACAAAGTCATATGTAAACAAGTTACACGGAAATATTTTTATCTATATAAACAAGTGTTAATGTCGGTAATGAAAATCTTATTTATAAACTATTGATACAAATCTGATTTACAAATGGGGTGAAATAGTTTTTCTCTAAAAAAAAATATAAATAAATATAAATATCATCTTCCCTCAGATTGATCTTTATAGTAAGGTGTAATTTTTATACAACCCATGAGTCGAAGCATTGATTTCCATGCACATAATTCATATGAATTCATCTGATATTTGGTCCATATAATTGTCTCAATTAATTTTGAAATTAAATAATTATATTTTCTTGATTTTTCGAGGTTTCAATAAATTCCATTCAATTAATATTAGATTTTTTCTTCTTTTAAGATGATATTCAAAAATTTCTTGCAATAAAGAAATATTATTCCATTCTTCTAATGATCAGTAGGGAATTTTCAATTGGGTAATTAATTCTTGTGTATATACATTATCAATACCAAATAGTTTATTTACACCGTATCTTGGCTTATTATCAATTTGAGACCAAACATCCACTGGGTTTTTTCATTAATAATTGTTTTAACATTATTATTTTCGTAAACTGTCAAAATATATTTTTTATCAGTAAAACTTTGGACATATAAAAAATTTCTTTTATATATTATAAGTAAAAGATGACTGATATCCCGCTCCAGCTTAATTCCATTCATAATTTTTTGATAAATCAGTTCCAGTAACTCTATTTTAAGATGTTCTACAAATAATTCAAAAGAATATTTTCTGATAATTGTTCTAAAATAACTGGTTGATCGAAACCTATTACAAGTGAACCTTAAAATTTAGTTTTTGCATTAAAAATTTGCTTACATAATGTCATAACAGCCACTGTAGAGCTTGTACATAATTCACTATTCACAAGTTGCTTGATACCTTGGACTTGAACCAAGGTATTTTGAAAATTAAGCCCTAAAAAAATAATAATGAAATCATAGTTATTGAGTTTAGTAAGTATTTTCATGCCTACTCGTATTGGAACTAATAATTTATTCGATCCTTTTCGTTGCTTTCAGTTGAAAACCAACAGTATCGAGAAAAGAGCCTATAATGTATTTTTGAATCAACTTTTACAACATTAAGAAGAGTTGTTGCATAACTTCTAGTATTATTTTTTGCGTTTGGTCATGACAAATGAGTAATGGGAAACTGGATTCCGTTTTAACTGTTTATTTGATAAGTTAATTATCCCGACCCAATAATATGATTTATGGATTTATATTAACTGATTTTTTTGAATGATCGCACTAATTTGAAAAGAACGATAATCAATTTACAATCAACAAGATTTTATATTCTTCACGTTTGTACATGTTACATCGTGATAATTTGTGACCTTTATTTTCGATATCAGGATGATTGGTTCGTTGTAAAACGTAACTCTTTTTAAAATCTGTTATACCATATCGTCTTACCCAATCTTCATGAACAATATTATTTTTTTTTTTTATTTTTTGAAACTAAGAATGAGAAGTAAGTTGTTTAGACAAAAAAATTAATTAAAAAGAAGTGTGATGTATATTAATAAAAAGACCAGATTTACAACAATCCAACATTATAAGGAAAAATTAAATGTTATTGATGTATTTAAACACTACGTTATAAGAGAAAAAAAAATAATTTCACAAAATCAATTAATGTAACAATTAAACATTAAGTCATAAGGAAAAATTAAATTATTAATGTATCCAACACCACGTTATAAGGAAAAAATTTTAAAAAATATTTGGTTGAATTTTTATATAAAAAGATGCATCAAGTATCAAATTCGAATTGAAAAAGAAAAATTAAATGTCTATTAAACAACAAATAATTGAAAAGACTTCAATTTATTAATTCGGTATTAGATTTAAATCTGATTCTTCAATTTATTATTGACAATTTATTTGATGAATATACTAAAGGATTAAACGAATCGAATCAGTATCCTATTGAAGAAGATTGGTATAACTATATTAATATTCTCGATGATAAAGATTTGACGAATATTATAAATTACCGATTAACTTATTGGAATCGAATGATAATTATCCTTTGTCTACCGATTTTAGTCAAATGAAATTAAAAACTTTTGTTAGAATTTCTATTTTAACCCAATAATTTGTACGTTAATAAAAGTCAATGATTGATAGGTGCACCGGAATAGTACAAACCATTAAAACTTAGTTTCTAAAAAATCTATATCAAAAACAAGTTTGATAAATGCCTCAAGAAGTTCAACTTCTCTCTTTAATTTTTTTAATTCGTCTAATTCTTTTTCATCGTCTACGTTCATTTCATCATCGACTTGATCCGCTAACCTTAACCATATATACTTTTTCTCTTCTGGTTGATTTAATCTTTCAATTAATTTATTACATGTTTTATTTCTAAAAAGTTTTCTTTGTATAACCCCCCACGGATTTAGTTGAAAATCGCCTAAGTTAATAAATGTTAACATAAATATTGTATAGTGAACAATATATCGACTAGCGTATAGTTACCAAAAAGGTACACATAAAGTGTCGTAAAAAATCCCAGTAAAGCCAATACATTAGAAATAACAGAAAGAAACTAATACAATCGATGAAATCAATGTCAATGAAATGATTTATTAATAAAGACAAAAATTATTTTATTATTGATTAAACCGTACTTACATTTTTATTTCTATATTAAGAAAACAATAATTTATAAATTAGAATAAAAATTTCTAATAGATAAATTGAACGATATCAATTTATTTACTTGCCTTTGTTCTGTTTGGATCTCATGTAAAAAGCTCTGAGGATCAAGTATGAATCCTGAGGCACTTTGTGCAAAGAATCTTCTATATCGTGTGCTTGGATCTAAGCAAATTGTTATTTTTTGATCAATTTCATTAGACAAAGAAAAAAAAAAATATCGTTTAACTTACAGATAATTGTTGTAAGATATGATTGTGTATGGTAGTTATGTGGAATTCCAAAATCGTTTAGAGCCGAGTTTATTATTTTATTTATGGTCTTTGTTACCATTCGAATGTGATAGGTCTAAAAAACATATAATTCGTTTTAAATAACTTTTGACTACTTATAATAATCACCATTATCAAAATATTATCAATGTTACATAGTTTATCCCTAAAAAATATCTATTTAGTCGCAAAACTGAAGTAGCGAAAGAGGGATCAGGTACTTTAGGTGAATATGATCCTTTTGAGATATCCTCATATAATTTATCAGAGTTTAGAATGTTTTCTTAAAGAAAACAGATTAATTGAGTCAATAAATATATCAATCAATCAATCAATCAATCAATCAATATTTAATATAAATAAATTATTTATCCTGCATCAAATGTGCCAAATATGTTGATCTCAAAATAAGGATCATCTAGATAATCTATAGCGGTATTATTGGTGATTTCAAATTTCAAAAGGATTCTTTCAATTGACCGTGTATTTGAACATCGGGAAATGATAGATTACTCGAGAATTTTCCCGTCCATAGACCAGAACCGACATCAAGTGTCGGTTGAGTTATATACTCCGAACAATTTGAATTATCGTCTAAAACCCAATAAGAAATATCAATATATAATAATATACATATGTGCTAACATAAAATATAAGCTTACCATAAGAAATATTATGATACAAAAAATTACAAATTATTGTAAAATTTTCGTTCATCTGCATTGCGATTACTACATAATATAATATAATGAATAAGGCCATTAATCAATTTAATTAATTCATCCATTAATCAAATTACCTGGAGTAGGAAACCATTCCATTGAAGCCTGATTTGTTGCAATAGTTGGGGAATCGTTACGTACTCCAATTGATAATATGATAAGAACTGCTAACAATATCACTGTAAATTTAATTAAAATAAACACTCTACATAATGTAAGTGGTTCGTATTTTCTTAAGAACATGACAGTTTTATGCAATTTTTAATTAATAAGGAAAGAAAGAAAATAAAAAATAAAAATTTTCCTTTTACTAATTAGTTTAAATTTATTTTTGTTTATGCGTTTGTTTAAATCTAATGAATTAACGTTAAATAATGCTGCAACTAGTTGCTAACGATGTTTAGTAGTAACTGTAACAGTTTACTTAGATAGAGGTATTATGAACTAAGAATAATTCAGAAATGTAGGTACTCAATTGTTTAAGAACGGATCTTTTAAACCCAACTGATTTAAAATACAAATTAATCTTAATTACTTCGGAGAACCTCTTTTTATAATAAAAATACATACAAGTACAAATACCGCTTATAAGTTCTACATTGAATGGAATGCCAATAATATCAATTCATAGAATGGAATTCGTAATTACGCCAATAATATAAGCATAGCCAGTAATTTTATTGAATGAAATGTGTAATTACGTCATTAATTTCATTCAATGTTACATTTATATCAATTCATCGAATGGGCGAATTTATTATTAGAAAATTATATTATAAAAGTAATTTACAGATTGTATTCGAGCCTTCTAAAAAAATTATAATTTCGGTCCTTTTGTGAAACGTAAAACACCTTAGATTCTAATGCCAAGAAATAACTCTAAAAAAAAAAACCTATAAATACCATTTGTTTTTTAGATCGGTTTAATTAATGTCCTTTGTAGTAATTTAAAATTAATTAAAAAATCTAAATTTATTAAATTTATTATCGTAATTAAAAAATATTTAAATAAATAAGAAAATGATGGTCATTGTTTCACAATAACAATTGTTTTTTTATAATTGAATCAAGCGACAAGATTTACACTAAATTAGTTAATGAAATATGGAAATAATAAATTAAGAATAATCATGTTTTTTTTTGTATTGATTTTTTTGTACGATGCTTTTAGCAAACAAGATCGTTATTAAATTTATCATCGTAATTAAAAATATTTTACATCCTTTTGTCCTAGTACAACTCCTAATTCGTTTATGTATTGAATTAAAAAATAATATTTTAAATTGAATGCCTAAGAAAATGATTTGTTTTAATACCTGTAATATAAATGAAATTATTATATGATAATCAATACAAAAATTTATTGTTTCACTATACCATTTTGCATTATCGTTATCTGTTATTATAAAATTCATTCTGTTTGTTTTTACTAAAAAATAATTTTTATTGTAATTAACTATTCTGATTTTTATATTATTTAAAAAATACTTCTATCCTGATAGAATGCATTCAAGCCCTATGAAAAATATTCATTGAATATACTATTTTTTTTTAAGTAATTATAATTCTCAATTAAATTTAATCTGCTATTAGTAAATCACTTGTTGTCGCCTTTAAAAGACTTTTGATCAGATTCCGTGATACCCATTTTTATTGGTCCTATCGGTTATCAATTATGAGATAATAATTGGGTTTAACCTCTTTTCGGGTAGTAAAAGGTAACAAGCCTCTAGAGAAGCTTTGGCATAGTAAAATTTTTCCAGATCAAAGGATTTACGAAGGATAGAAATTGATGTAACGTTGTGTTGCTTGGAAAAGATAGCAGGTGAGTTGGCATGGTAAAATTTTCCCCTCTCGGCTTAGTTGGAATGATAAGAGTTCACACGCTTACTCAAAAAATGTTAACTATTGTCATAAAATTTATACATATAATATAATGAAAAAAATATTTCTCGTTTTTAACATTTGCGAGAAAAAAAAATTCTCTGAGTGATTAATTAAAACTGTTCAGAAGGTATAAAAGTACTTGAATACTGTATTTGTTTTTGCTTACAAACGAATTGAAAGATTATTTTTTCTTTAACTACAAATGCTCGAATTTTTTTACACTTCCAGAACTTTGTAGCATAATTTTAACACATTGGTCAAAGTAAACTGCCTTTGAGCGACTAATTAAAGCTGTTCAGAAGTTATGAGAGTACTTGGATATTTGTTTTCACTAAGCCGGCTTACAAAACGGAATTTTTCTTTAATTATAAATACTCACGAATTTTTTATACTTCCAGAACTTTGAAACGTAATTTCAAATACATTTGACGAAGTAAACTACCTTGGCGAACTAATTGAAACTATTCAGAAGGTATGAAAGTACGTGAATATTTGTTTTCATCAAGCTGGCTTACGAACCGATTGAAATGCGAATTTTTCTTTGATTACAAATACTCACGAATTTTTTTACAGTTCCATTTTACGTCCAAAACTTTGTGATTTAATTAAAAGAAAACTTTTTGAGCGACTAATTAAAACTGTTTAGAAAGTACGAGAGTAATTGAATATTTATTTTCGCTAATCTGGCTTACGAACTGATTGAAATACGAATTTTTCATTAATTACAAATACTCTCAAATTTTTTATGGTTTCATTTTACATCCAGAACTTTGAAACGTAATTTTAATACATTGGTCAAAGTAAACTACCTTTAAGCGACTAATTAAAACCATTCAGATCAGAAGACGGATTAAAAGATAAATTTTTCATTAATTACAAATACTCCCGAAATTTTTTTACAGTTCCATTTTACATCCAGAACTTTGAGACATAATTTCAAAGTAAACTGCCTTTGAGTGACTAATTAAAACTGTTCAGAAGGTATGAAAGTACTTGAATATTTGTTTTCGCTAACCTGGCTTACGAACTGATTGAAATAAGAATTTTTCTTTAATTACAAATACTCGCGAATTTTTTTACAGTGGAGTTAATTTAATAAATATAATAAAATAATATAATATATGAATAAATTAAAAATAACAAATAAATAAGTTTCAATATTTTATAATTGTTTTGAATTAGAAATCTGTTTTTTATTTTTATTTTTCATTTTTCATTTGTATATACGAATTCTGTTTATTTATATTGTAGAAAAAATATTAAATGATTCATATAATTAAAAATAATAAAAATAAAATGAAATACAGTACCATTATTGATTATTATTTTAATGTTCTCCTGTATTTATTGAAATCATTGTGGTTACGTACACAATAAATGTCATAACAACTACTGGATGTGCCATTATACATTGAGCATGCCAATCTCTCCATTGTTCAACACAAAGCATCCTCTAACGCAAAATCAAATAGCAACAAATCAAAAAACGTAAAGGCAAACGGAAAAATTCATATGTAAATAAGATAAAAACCATAATAAAATAGTAAAGAAGAAAAGATAAATAACAAAAAGATCCCCGTGCCTCCGGCACGGGCCCTACGCTAGTATTCTATTTAATCATTCTCAATTAAGTTTAATAAAAATATTAAATTAAATATATTCTATTTAATTATTTCCGCTTTCTTAAAAACAGAACACATTTATGACTGATAAATTCGGAATGAGTTTGTGATCAAAACAAGGCAATAAAGATAAAGATTAAGTGAAATTATAGAACATATTCAATTCATTATATCTAATATTAATAAAGTCTAAGGCCGAAACTTAAAAAATGATTTGTTTATCTAATATATTTTTTAAATTGGTTAATTAATTCAAATATAAAAAAAAAAATATTCTATTGGCACATGTACAGTATATTATTTCTTTGAACGCATTCTGTGCATTTAATGATTTGCCATGCATGAGTTTGATAAACTGTAAGCTATTCACACTTTATCTGTATGCTCCTTCCATTTATCTCACTGATTAAGAAACTATCACCACATCCACTTCTACATTTCTACCACCCTCACCATAATCACCCCTCACGTCGACAAGAGAACCAATATCGTTATCTACAATATTGGATTAATGACTGTTATTTCAAGAACAAACACACCGAGATTTTCTTTTGTAAACCAACTGTTTTTTGCCATGTCCAAAGGTTTGTACAAAATAACAACAGTTATTTCGACCTCTACTTAACTTTCACTTCTTATTACCTCCATCTCCATCTGTCTTGGGAGGGGCAAGCCAGCTATTAACATTTCTTATTGCTGAAAGCTTCCAATAAAAATTTCTGGGAAGAAGAATTACTTACTTTAGGATGTTCAAAATTTCATCTTTTAAAACTTTATTACGGATTTATTACTATTACTATTTATTTATTATACTTATCATTATTTAAATGCAATACGTAACAGCATTCTATTACCTTTATTATCTTTTACATCAATTTCAATATTACCTTTTACATCATTTACAGTAAATGCAATTTTACTCATTTAAATGTATGTTTAAATAATTATGTATCGGACTTATAAATAATTAATATACTTTGGCAAATTAGAATATCTGTAAATAATATTTAAAGTCAAATGTGAAGTTTATTTTATTTATATTTTTATAGCATGCCATACAAGAATATCCAAACTTATATTGGCTGATACTAAAGGTGAAGAAGAGGAAAAATAAAATTTCAATTATTATAATTATTATAATTATCTTCAATCATCATAATTAATAATAACAAAACTTTTAGAAATTATTTTGCGAATGTTCTAGATAATTTAAAAATTTTTAATATTATCATTATGTTATATTTCCATGTCATTATTATTATCGCGCAGTTGCTTCAATATGCATGCGTTGTTAGTAATTATTTCACTAAGAAGCATATTATTAATATTATTATTTCTATTATTTATAAATGTTGTAACTCATCCTCGACTCAAATGTCACTTCAGGTACCTCGGGTGTGTCAAATTTCCTATATATTAAGCCTTTAGAGCTCAAGACAATTGCATAGATGAAAAATCCGTGCTATAGTAATTCCATTTTTTTTACGCACAATATTCTATTATAAGTTTTATTACACTTAATTGACCTTTGTAATTTCAACACTATTATGGCCGGCGGAGACAATCCTTTGGGCAAAGGCATTCCTAAAGCTGGCTCTCTTGAATCTTGTGCATGGATTAAGACAGTCAATGGCATTATCGTCTTCTTGATGACGGCGTATTTTTTAGTCATCATCATTCTCTACACTTTAAATATTTCGTTAAATATTTTTACCTTAACAAAGCAGAAAACAAACGTGAAGATAAAACCATAGTATATATAGGCTTTTAGTTTTTTTCATCCTGACTGCCTACTTCGTAGGAGTCGTTTACTACAACGTTAAAAAATGGCAGATGTTAATGATCCGCAGTTGTCTTTGGAGTTGGTAAAAAACCATATTCCACCATCAATTCTTTTATGTCCACCTATTTTAAAATATGATTCTTTTAAATTAGAGTTGATAGACGCATTTATGCTGACAATATTAATCAAATTTTCAATGAGAGTTTTGTGAGTAGCAGTGAAAATAATTTAACTTCTTCATATGATAAAATTGACAAAACAGAATTAGGAGTCACTTGCAATCTGTTTAAATCATTGAAGCCGCCGGATGGTACAAGAGCCTACGTTTTTTTATTTTTCAGCCCAAAATGAATCTGACAGTGTTGATGTTTTTATTGGTGACAACGTTGCGAACTGGAAACTTCCTTTTCCTCAAAGTGATGGATATGGCGATGTAGGGTCGGTATCATATTTTATACAGAGACTCGTTACATTGAATTGAAAGATAGTCAGTTCCATCGTAGCTTCCAATGTTCCACCCTCAATTATCCTGACGCTATCGGCTATTATAACACAATAATAATTGGAATCAGTGCACCGAAAGAAGTTTTAACAAGAATTGAAGAGCCAGCTCTCGAACTAGCTGACGTTTCAGTGGTTACATTAGCATCTGTGGCATTTTTGTTTTTCTCTTTGGGAATTGGGACTTTAAAGACCATAAAGAGGATGATGATGATGGGGGTTAATAACTTTTTTAAATAAGAAAAATGACAAAAATACCGATAAAGATAATAAAAAAAATGAAAAAGAAGATGATGTACAAAAAGTTTTTTTTTAAAATGATTATTCTTTACACAATTTAAAAGTATGTATAGTGGTTTATCATAAATTTTTTATTTATTTATCTTAAATACAGGAGATATTTCATATTATGTTAATAAAAAATAACAATAAAATATAAATATTGTTTAATTAAATAATTAAAAAAGTGTACTAATTGATTTTTAATTAAGCGAATAAAATAAAATTAATTAATAAATAAATTATGAGTCACTGATTTTTCAAGAAGTTTATTGAAACGTACATTATAAATCTCTTCAATAATGTTTTCATCATAAAATTGAAAATATCGAGAAATCCTCATCGATCCAATTATCAAGATAAAGTTTTTTATTTTTGGTCAATTCGTCATTAATCATATAATCCGATATTTTAAGCTATCCACTGAATAATCTACTTCTGGAAGAATAGTAAATAAAATATAATAAATCAAACTTGATAATAATATAATATATTTTATACTAAACTTATTTTAACTTACGAAACATAAAGAGGCATTAAATTATTTCCACCACCAATATATTTTCTTTGCTCGCTCAATTTAAAATTACCAAATTATTTTGTGGAATCTTTACCAATCATAAGTTTTGCGGCTAACAATGCACCGTAAACATCCATAATTGATAATCTCACCCCGGAAGCTTTTTTCTGGATTAAAGATCTAAATGTTAATTCAAAAGCTGTCTGTGGATCAGAAGTTTCTGCAAATCCTTTTAAGACGCCACGTGCATTATTAATACTATGTTTAAGTTAGGTTCTATAAAATTCTAACAATGCTTGAATTGAATTCTCGTGTGATTGAGTAATTGTTGAATATAGTTGACTCATATTCCAACAACTGCCACTGAGACCTAAAATTAGATTAAAAATAATAACAATAATTATATTATCAGTTATATACTATATATCCATTATCAGTTATATACTATATATCCATTATCAGTTATATACTATATATCCATTATCATAAATCTATATATATTCACCTGCAAGATATATAACACAATCAAAAGTCCAGATTCTTGGACATCCCTAAGAAAAGCTAAAAAAAAAATAAATATAGATAGTAAATATAATAAATTATTAGTTAAATGTGAGTAATAAATATCGTACCAGTAACGGAAATCATGGTCCACCACTTCCCATAATGTAATTACTGAAATATCAACAACATAAATTTCACTAACATCAACTCCTACATACTGTATTTTGCGAATGTTTCACGGATAAAAGCTTTCTATCATGAATAAATTTTATTCTTCTTCACTTAAACTATTATTATTTCTGAATTATATTTAGAATTTAGTTAAAATATTAATTAAAAACACCCATTTTAAAATAAATATTTGAAATATAAACACTTACAATTGGAATGAATTATAGTATTTTCCAATTTCTTTTACATTTATAAAATCTTTGGACCATTCTTTTACATAATTTATTTAAGAAATTGGAAAAAAATTGATTGGTATTTTTCAATTTCTAAGATAAATTTTAAAGTACCCTGTAGTGTGGCAACACAGAAACATTCGTGACCACTGAAGGTGGCAAACAGAGGTGGTAATTGCACCAAGTAGATTATGTGCCACCACCTGGATGAAATACAAGGTGATTATTTATTCACCCTCGCACAATACCTTCAAGTAGCAAAATATGGGTAGCAACCAAGGTAAAGGTAAACAAAAGAAAAATGTATAAAGAATCAAAGTCGA